CCTCGATCTGGCCCCTTCCCTTCGCAGCGTCAGAGGTACCACCACCAGCCAAGGTAAAGTAGCTTTCCCACGCTTCCCTCCTCTCTTGTTTCGCCCTGGGATGAACGAACAGGTACGAAAGTACGCACTTGCCTTGCTCCGGTTACCTCCTTTTGCATTGCAGAGGCTGAGGTCACAGGTGGCTCACACACACGCCGCCCAGTTTTCTCTCTCTCCCTCCCTTAGCACATAAAAGCCTTTGCCCTCCCACCCGTCTGGATCTGTTTACATCACCTCAATCGATTCTCTTTTTTCATCACAACAAGATACCCCAAAAATCAGTCATCATGTCTCTGCACTGTAAGTCGCCATCCTGATTCCGCCGTAGGAGAGAATTGGTGGAAGCATCACGCCCTCTCTACGTAGCTTTACTCAACTACCTCGCTCGCCTTCTCATCCAATGTCTCCGAGGGAGAATGCGCCTTCGTTGGACTCGAGAGGAAACACAGCCATGAGTTGAACATTAATTAACAACCTCCTGCGACAGACCTTCCCCCCGTCAAGCCTTCGGCTATTGCCCTCGGCACCATCTTCAACCACACGGCTGAGCTTGCTGGTACGTGAAATCCCCTCACCAAGGTGTCGTCCAGACAGACGCGCGCCATTCCATGACAGAATCAGCTGACCCAAGCTTCCCCCCCTCAACAGTCTTGACCCCCATCTTCGGCCAGACCTACCAGCGCGCCAAGGCCGCCAACACCAAGGAGGAGTTCGCTCGCTCCAAGGAGGCTCAGGGTGCCGCCGTCGCCTGGGGTACTTCCCTCGTCGGCTCTGCCCTCCAGTCCTACGGTGTTGGTGCCCTCATCAACGCTACCGGCACCCTGTCTTACAAGGGCGCTGCTTACCTCGGCTCTCTCATCTTCTTCGCTACTTCTGCTCCCGGCGTATGTTATACCTCCTTTGATTCTTTATCATGATCCATTCACTGACAGATACGCAGTACATCTCCCAGGTCTTCGTCGAGAAGCGCCCTGTCGACACCGTTGGCGTCAGCGTCCTGGCCAAGGTCATTGAGACCGTCGGTTTGTCGGTCTTCCTCACCTGGTGGGGAACCCGCACCAACCCCTTCGACTAAGGGCTTAATGTATTATGAATGATTGAGCATTCCTGGAAAACGGATTGTTCGTGTGCTATTACCGTTGGGTTGGTTGGGATGAGGACATGGAGTTTAAAGATAGCCAGCAATTGCAGCTAGGGCCATTGTCATGTACCTACCCTTTTACGTCTCAAGCCATGATTCCCTTAAGCAAATCACCTGGAAGTTGCCTTGCATTGTGACCTGAGTGATGTGAAACATACTCCCCTCTGGAGCTCAACATGCATGCTAGTCTTCGAGACGTGCCATAATGTGTGATATGTTCGTGAAGGGAAAACATGACGTTGGGATGTGATTCCTTGGCCCATGAAAAACAACAAAGGTCTTGTGTCTGGATAGTGCGGCATTGAAAAACTTCCCTCTCAATTAACAGACATTGCTTACCATTTGAGAAACAATTTCACAACCCCTCAATACCTTGGTACCAAAGAGCCATGCTGCAACGCGCCTTGGACTCATTGCCCGTCGCATTCACAACTTGCTCATACAGGAGAAGAATGTGAATGCTATGGTTTGGTTTATCATGCAATTCTTTTCTGGGTGAACAAACATCATGACTTGATGGCAAACTTACTCCACCAGCAAGACATTATGCTATGCCTTGAAAGGCCATCATCTGGTGCGTCACGCGGGCACAGGTCACACACATTATTCTCATCCCAGGGGGAAAAACAAAAGGCTCCCGACACCTCGTGTCAAAGAGCCCCCGGCAAAGCAAGAAAGGTTCCTCCACACCTCCGCACCCTTAAAGGTTCCAACGGAAGTTGTAATGATGGTTAAATCATTTATTTTGTTCTACTTTCCTCAAGACAAGAGTCTTGAAAGATGGAAAGTGAGAAAGGAGTAGTCCAAACAGAAGAGTACTACACCGTATGCCCAAAGTTTTGCCCTATAAAACGCCGATTCTTTCTCTTTTGTGTTGTAAAACCAGCGCAAAAGAGCTTTTTTTTAAACCCCCCACCCGTATAGTGTGACAATTCATCATTTCTTTCAACTGTACTTCCCGTTTCGACATGTCGTGTATGTCCGTACCGGTAAGACGAATAGTAGCAGCAAAGTTTACTGTTTATGCCCAGAAAGACTGCTTAGCAGTCTCCTTCTGCACAAGCTTCACAAGCGCGGCGTAGACCTCGGAGTAATCCTCGCCGTCGTCCTCCTCGTCGTCGCCGCCCTTGGACTCCTTCTTCTCCGCCTTCTTGCTGTCGGCGGCGGAGCGCTTCTCCGAGACCATGACGACCGAGGTAGGGCGCTTCGTCTTGGCGGCGGCGCCGAGCTCGGCGCGGGAGGTGACGAAGATGTAGGGGACGTTGTGGTCCTCGCAGAGGACGGGGAGGTGGGAGATTACGTCCATGGGGGAGATGTCGCCGGCGATGACGACGACGCCGGGGAAGGCGGTGTTTCCGGGTCCCGCAGCGGGGGACTTGCGGAGGGTCTTGACGACTTCTTTTACGCCGCGCTTGAGGGTGTTGTTCTTGGCGGCTGTTGGGGGGGTGGATATGTTAGTCTCTGAGATTTTGATATCATAGTTTTGCGTTTTGGAAGTGCAGATTCTTTTTCTACTAGATCACGTTTCCTCCGCGCCAGAAATCGCGTCTATGAACGAGGGGGGGGAAGGGGGGAAAAGAAGGACTTACCCTTGCGAATGGACTTCATAACCTTCTTCATGGCCTTCTCATCTGCCAAAGGCACGGCAAAGGGCACGAGAGCGCCGACGACGGGGAGGCCATCAGCGACAACGGTGGTGACGTCGCCGCTGGCGACGGTGGTGGCGGCGACATCGGCCTGGAGGTGCTCGTCGAGGGCGCGCTCGAGCTTCTCCTTCTTGTCCTTCTTGTCCTTCTTATCCTTCTTATCCTTCTTGATGGCGCCGTCGGACACGGAGCGCTTCTTGTCCTTCTTCTCCTTGCGGTCGGGCTTCTCGGCGGCCATTGTAGCGGTTTTTATCTAGTAGTCTTGATTAAAACCTGGTTGAAATGAGAGACAATTGGCGATTGGCGACGGCGGGGGGAGTCGGAGTTGGGCGGGCGACGGTCGTGATTTGAAGCTCGAGGTCGATGGGCTCGAGTTTTTTTTCCTCCTGTACCCTTTGGCTAATGCAACTTTTTTTCTGGTTTGCCCCACCTTTGCAGCTGTGCAATTGGGGAGCTTCGGTGCAGCGGTATATCCGTGCCGAGATCCATTGACTTTCGCTCACCGAGGATTGAGGCTCGGTGAGAGAATCACGTGACTGTAATTGACCAATCACGGTCCAGACATTGAGCAAATGTCAGCGCAGTATGAGGGCCGCAGACATGATTCAATTTCCACGGACAATACGAACGCATCGGAAAGTCGGACTACTCGTCTTACTATTTTCAGGCTGAGTAGCTGGATATCTACCAGTTGGCGGCATGGCAAAGCAGAGCGTTGCGACATCTTCGGCTCACAAACTCGCCTCGATGTTTTCAGGCCTTAGGAAGATCTGTTGCAAGTCGAGGAACGAGTCAACATCTATAACGTAAAATACGTCTTCAATCATAGAATATGCGATATGCTTAAATCGTCCAAATGGGGCTCTATTCCATGTCTCCCCCTCTACGTAGTTGATATACACGTGTTTTGACACAGGGAATCGTTGTCCGCCTCTAGCACTCGTCGTCCGCCTTCTTCACAAAGAAATGTTTACTCCTCGTCACCGAACTCGGCGCGGCCCTGCTTGGAGTTCAGGTAGTGGTTGCTGTATCGATTGTTAGCGCCATGCCTTTGCTTCGTTCCGAATTGCCCTCGTTGTTTTTATTGTTGCAACAGAGACCGTGGGAGTGACTGACCGGTGGGTAGCCCAGTCCATGATGTACCAGCCGGCGACCAGGGGAGGAAGGAAGTAGAGGACCTGGTGGCTGAAGCGGCGCCAGGTATTGAAGACGGCGTCGTGGGCGGCGCCGGCGAAGGGGTTCTGACGGTTGGGGGTGATGCCGTAGGTGATGATTCCTCTCTGCTTCTCGCCACCTGAGAGTTTTGTCAGTACTTAGGTTCGATTCAAGGTGCGTCTCGTTTGCGCATCGTGGTCGGCCGTCGAATCCTGGACAAGTTCCTCCTCTTCGTTTCTTCATGTCCAATCCCTAAAACCATTGTCCATTGTCCATTGTCCATCGTTCAACCGCGTCACCAACGTAATTCGACATCGAGAAAATCGCGAAATGACATACCAATGTGTCCCCACCAGCCGAGGTAGCTATTCAAATGTCAGCAAGATACTCAAAGGTTGCAATTGGGAGCGGTGCATGGCGCGGCGGGCAGAGGGAACTTCATGATCTTTCTCACTCGGAAAAAGCCCGCATGCCCCTTCCCGTTCGCCCGCTCAATTGACCTCCAACAAGAAATTCACTTACTGAGAATACTTTCCGTGGGGAACGCTGGGTCCTCCCATAAGAGCTTGCGTAGGTCTCATCGTGGCGGTTGTGCTGTGGTGGACGGTGATGAGCAACACGGGTTGGATAGTCTAGAGTAAATCGGAGAGGGTCGAATCGGACGAGGTTCAAATCTTGTCCTTGCCTTTCCTGCCGAACCCGAAAGCTGAGGCGCACATCCCAAAACGGCTTAGCGTAGACCGTCCCTTTCAAACCGTCACCACCCATCCGACCACCCCGGTCACCCAGTGTGTCCCAAAATTCCATGACGGAGCTTACCGCTGCCGCATTCTGGTGAGAGGAGCTTTCGGCAAGCTTCAGTCCTGACGGATACACTGCACCACCAGCCCACCACCACGACAACGACTCCGGAAGCTCAACTCGGATAGCCCGCGATACCCTCCAGCGGACTCGAAACGCCCCTTCTTTTTAACGTAAACGAAACCTATCGCCACATCTACATTCGCCATTCCGACATAATGGCTCAAGCTCTGGGCTTTGCGTACCGCATGGCCGTCCCTGCGGCCATTGGTATCGCGGTTGTGCAGTCGTCAATCTACGATGTCAAGGGTGGATCCAGAGCAGTCATCTTTGACAGGATGTCTGGTGTCAAGGACACCGTCATCAATGAGGGCACGCACTTCCTCGTGCCGTGGCTGCAGAGAAGCATCGTCTTTGATGTGCGGACGAAGCCGAGAAACATCGCGACGACGACGGGCAGCAAGGATCTCCAGATGGTCAGCTTGACCCTCCGTGTGCTGCACCGGCCCGAAGTCCAGGCCCTCCCCAAGATTTACCAGGTGAGTCTTTTTTTTTCCCTTCTGTCTTGAGCACTCTTCCTTTTATGCTGGAAAAGTACAACACCCGCTGACAAACTATTCTCTATAGAACCTCGGCCAAGACTACGATGAGAGAGTCCTCCCCTCCATTGGAAACGAGGTCCTCAAGTCCATCGTCGCCCAGTTCGACGCGGCCGAGCTCATCACCCAGCGCGAGGCCGTCTCCCAGCGCATCAGCTCCGACCTCCGCAAGCGCGCCGCCGAGTTCAACATTGCCCTCGAGGACGTCTCCATCACGCACATGACGTTCGGCAAAGAATTCACAAAGGCCGTCGAGCAGAAGCAGATTGCCCAGCAGGACGCCGAGCGCGCGCGCTTCATTGTCGAAAAGGCCGAGCAGGAGCGCCAGGCCAACGTCATCCGCGCCGAGGGCGAGGCCGAGTCCGCCGAGACGATTAGCAAGGCCATTGCCAAGAATGGCGACGGCCTCGTGCAGATTCGAAAGATCGAGGCCGCGAGGGATATCGCGGCGACGTTGTCGTCGAATCCGAATGTTGCGTACCTGCCTAGCGGCGGTAAGAGCGGCAACCAGATGCTGTTGAACGTTGGCCGGCCGTAAAGTGGTTGTCATCACGATAAGGATCAGGATGAGTGGATGAAGTAGTGAAAAAAGGGCGACGCTGTATTATAGACTTTGAAGGCAAGTCACCGCTTCAATAAGTGTAATCATAGGGCAATCCATTCTGCCGCCTTTCCACACAGTTGGTTTGTGCCGTACCCTTGGGTTTTGTGAAAGCCCAACTCATGGGCGGGATGAAGAATAAACTGTGAAATGTACCCATTGGTTATGAGATGGAGAGCTCTCTTTTATATCCATACCTCTGAGAGTACCCTGAAAGCACCCGAAGACGAATACCGAGAGCACTTACGATATCCTGAACAGCCTCGCTGAATGATAAGAAGTTGGTCTCATCGGCATTTCTACACCTGCCTCTCTAACATGCCTTCTGGTCACTTTACATGCCCCCTCTTTTCCCGATTTTTGAGTGGTCTGTTGTTCAGCAATTATCTTGTATCAACCCCTCTTGTCCCCTGGTAGAGACAATACGACACTTATTCGATGGATCAAGAAATGCCAGGAGGCTATTTTGTTACTCAGTATATAAGTACATGTTGGATAGTCGCACACGAGCAGTCACATTGTGGAAAAAAAGAGAAAAGTCAAGAATAGTTGAGTGAGAATGGTCCCATGTACCAATTAGTATTAAAGAAACCCCGTACAGGGCAGGTATCATAACTGCAAAAGCCCATTGACCCAAGGCATCATACCTGAGGACCCCATGTCCTCCCCAACGCCAGCTCAGTCTCTCATAAAATCAACCATGTGCTATGCCCACCCGGCTCTAAAGGGCAGATTCAAGGAACTCGGCAGTCAAGTGACCATTGAAATCATTCACCTTGCCGCCAGGCGGAACAAACCCACCACCCTCGAGTTTCCAACCTTTGAGCTTCATGCTCTTCCATTCTTCCGAGAGCTTCAGGCGCACGAGATCTCCCGCAGCCCGGGCGTCTTCCGCACTGTCATGTCCCTGAACCTTGCCAGCCGTCTCAACTTGGATTTTACGGTTGAGAAGGCTGTCCATCAGCATCTTCAGGCCAAGGCGGTACGGAAGACCATGCTTGTGAGGGTAGAGAAGAACGGTGTCAATGACAGTAGGGTGGACGATGCGAACGGCGTTCAAGTCATTCTCCAGTCCGTGTCCAATCAGTGGAGTCTCGGGACTGATGAGGGCAAAGAGAAGGTCGCGAGCAACTTCAGGCGACGACACGATCTTCATCTTCTTCTTGGTCTTCTTGGGGCTCGACATCTTCTTCGCCTGGGCAGGTGTTGGATCTTCTTCCTTTGCAGTCCAGGGCTCGGCGGATGCCATGTCTTCAGGCCACACACCCGAGTAGCGCGAGTTGAGATCGAGGATCTCACCAATGGGTTGAACGAGGACGTCCAATAGCTCCTCTCCATTAGGCCACGATGTTGCAGTGAGGCGAATGAGCTCAAGACCATGAACCGTGTAGCACATTTCGCAATCGAAGCCAACAGCTCTGTCGGTGGGAGCATTGGGGTTGGCAGGCGTCTCGGCGTAGTTGAGAACGGAAGCCAATCTCTTGGGATCCGATGCCTTGAAGACGTGGTGAGCGTTGGAGTGACAGCCGGCAGAGTCTCCGACGGCCTGTCCACAGCATCGGTAGCGTTTGGGTTGCTGGGATCTATCGCCCAACTGGCGCTCGGGGAAGTAGGTCTTGCCCCAGTGGAAGGTACAACTGCCACCAGAGGCGAGAGCTCCATCCTCTTCTCTTCTTCCCGGGAACATCTGGAAGCGCTTGTCGCAGCGATCACACTTCTCCCAACCCTTTGCAGCATCAAGACCCTCACGGGCCTTCTGGATGTCGGCCTCGGCAGGGACAGATGAGACGTAGCCGTGGGCGGCAAGGCCGTCGATGGGGGTGATGAGTTGGCGGACAAGCTGAACTTCCTGGGCCGGGGTCAAGCCCGTCACAATCTTCTTGGGAGGGGCAGAGGTCTTGTTGTGAGGGCCTTTCTGGGTCATCTGACGGCGTTGAGCGACTCTCTCCTCCTTCCACTGAAGGAGGGTCATCTTTTTGTACTGCATGATTTTGTTTTTGATTACGTTTGAGTAGATGGCGCCTTTCTCTATCGCCGTGGATTCTTCTTCGTCAAGGACTTTCCAAATGAGATCTTGATCTGTAAGAAGGAGCTGCTTCTCTTCTGCGTCTTTGGCAGTCTTCTTGAGCTCGTTATTCAGGCGAGCGTATTGTTCATGTAGCAGTTGCACTAGCTTGAATCGGATCTCAAACTTTGCTGGTGATGACTTGAGTAAACGAGGGTTGAGAGCCTCGGCCTTCCTGATCTTCTTAGGAGGGTCGGTCTTGGATGGAGTAGAAGGAGTGTCTTTTTGTATTGAGGTTGAATTTACTGGGGAAGAATAAGATGTAGTAGTAGTGGTGGCAGGTGAATCAGCCTTGCGCTTGGTTGGAGGATTAATAGATGATGATAAAGGAGAGGACCTGCTTGGAGCAGAGTGATTCAGTGACTTCCTGAGGTCGAACGAAGAAGCGAGAGAAGGTGCGAGTGGTTTAGACTGTTGGAGCTTCTTCACGACCGTGGAGGAGGACGATGGACGCTTTAAAGGTGGAGGTGATATGGGCCGAGCGACAGGTGACAGAGTGTCATCTGGTCTTGGTGCGGTAACGTCTTGTTTTGAGGTCGTTTTGACAGGAGTGGGAAGACTTGTAGAATCGGCGGGGTTTCTGACGTCTTGGGCAACTTTCAGACGTTTTCGAGGGCCATCCCGGGTTGCATCCGTCGTGGTATCAGTCGACCCTTTTGCCGACGTTCCTGACGCGTTGAGTGCCGGTGCTGAAGGTGCCGCCATCTTATCCCTGTCTGCTTTATGCTGGAAGAGGCACATGAAAGCTGTGCATTGCTCTCCCTTGGGACAGGGAATGTGTTTGAGGTCTACAAAGGACATTGTGACAAGACTTTCCTCAGAAGCTGTAGAGATACAGTGGTTCTGTTGAACAATGGCAGGAGCGCCAGGAGCGGCTGCTTCCTTTCTCGTCTGGTACTATGAAAGGAACGAAGGTGACGAAGATGGGAGACTGCCAGAGCCTCGTTTGCAGATGGAAGTATACGTAAGGTGTAAACACAGACGAAGCTGTGAATGGTAGAGAGAGTGGGGTGAGACTACTGGCTGTTGGTGTGGGAAAAGCCTAAGTGAGCTCGAGAGGGATAGAGGTAGATTGAGTGTGAAAGCGCCGATTAAGGCCTCGAAGATCCGGGGGAATGGTGCGAGGATCTCATAGCCAAAATGGCAGAAGCAGACGCAGACGTAGACGCAGACGGGGCCAATGTCGTTAGGTTAGGTTGCGACGTTCCAGTCGGAGAATTCGCGGGTCCACGGACAAAGGGGACGCTGATCGGTTGTGGCGCGTAGACCGGGCGAGGCTGACACAAGAATGAAGTAAGATTGGGTGATGATCCAAAAAGACGATAACGGGAATATCCAAGGCATAAAGATGGGTTGGTTTGGGACAGTGTCACAGATGGTTGATGTGTCTCGAATCTTGTCGGAGTTGGGATGAAGGGAGGCTCCGAGCGTCTGGGAAGATTACCTAAGTCTTAAGTTAAGGTACGTACGCACTCACCAGTACTACGTACCTTGCTGCGTACGTAGGGCCACCAGCTTGAAGCTCTGGTGGGGCCGTTGACCGAGAATAGCACTGGATCTTTCCGTACCTTACGGAGAACGTTACCAAGATGCATCCATCTCCACTGTCGGTCTGGATTTTGCAGTTTCTAATGCATTCTGAATACATGCTTCGTCGTTACTTTCCCCTGCCACGCAATGAGGGCACGCAACGATCAAGGTTGCCAAGACGTCCATGTCCTGGCAAGATAAGGCAACACGTGTAGCCCATCAATCGGCGTACTGTAAGGTAGGGAAGACTGCAATCGAGCTCCAAGGTTGAACCCTTTCTTGTCCTTCTTCAATCAAAGTTGTTTCGACGCCGTTACACCACCCACCTGAGTCAAGATGAGAGTTTCCCAACCATCAATCGTCTTTTGCAGCTTGCTGCCTGCCTACATACGAACACCCGAAAACGGCAAGGCCACCCAGGTCTGCTATCGACCTGTCACTTTTCTGAATAAGCTCGGCATACCTATTCGTTCCTGAATTTCGGAGAAATCAGTAGGCCCGCGATATCTCCCTCCACGGTCGTCCAGGACCCTCCAGGAGGAGCCTTGCCCACGGTAGTTGGTAAGGTAGTTCCAGGTACGCAAACTCTATTTCATCCACCGTCTCATCTTTTGGAAGCCCAGGAGTCAGCCCGATAATACATACACACGGGCATTTCCACCAACGCCAAGGCATCTTGGAGATACTTACATCATGGCAGAGAGTGTGTTTAACACATACAGTACACTGCAGATAAGGCTGATTTCACGACTCTTCCCTGCACTGCTCTTCCGTCACATTGCACTTTATCAATCTCAGTACCTACATCTGACGCCAGCAAGGCCAAGCCCCGCTGGATTTCATTTGTTTGTGCTCGCGGCTCGTCAGATCCGACATCTCTTATCGGATCCGCGCGGGGCTGCACAGACATGGTCTCGCATGTGATATGATGGACCTGGTGATCAACCTGTCCTCCCTTATCCACCACAGCCCCTCGTTTTTGAGGTGTTGAGTTACCCGACTACCTCTGTACTGCATACGGGGCACAACAATAAGAATGCAGCCTTCGGACCTTCCTTGCATGGGCAGGGTGACGCAGACACGCAGACAGAGATGCAGAGCAGGCGGAGCAGGCAGAGTCAAAAGCCAAAAAGACGCCCGCCAACCTAGCGAAGCCGCCAGCCATTATTCTTGCTCGCTGATAACGGGAGTGCGGTATCAGAGCCCCGGCGAGTGCTAGTGGCAGTGGCACCAAGCGGAAGGGCGAAACCAAGGGCAGCCCTGGTCTTGAGGATGGACTTGCCTATCGCGGTGCAACGGTTGGACAGGAGCTATTGGCGGTGAATACCCCGTAGTGCAGCATCTGAGTGTCTGAGTACGGCCGGGAGGTATGTCCTGCCTGTCAGTGTCACTCCTGTGTTGGCCTGTTTATCGAAGAAATCGTTATCAAGGAGCAAGATGGAGCGAGGGGTTCACAGACCAACCTGGCTTGCCTCTTGTGCGATGCTATCTTTTCAATCTTGGGCCGTCTATAAATGAGCCGCTCGATGCCCACCACTTGGACCAAGGTTGTGATTTGAGAACCTTTGCTTTGGCAGAACGGGAAGGTCGCACAACGAGACAATCCTCTCGAATGAAACTGCGCTCTCGCGAATGCTGGAGATCACCGTGACGTACCTACCTAGTGGATGAACACCAAACACCAAACACCAAACACCAAAGTCCAACTTGGAATTGGGTTCTCACGCACCCGCCCTATCAACTACCTTACCAGCAGCGAGTGGGCGGCCGGCGCGCAAGCTCAGCTCAGGGTTCTCACCACCTCGCGGCACGTTTTTGTCCCTTCATCTTACACTCGAGTTGTTCCCCGAAATCGACCATCTTGCGAGCTCACCCCACCCAGGATTACCTACAAGCTGAGAGACTTGCAGCTTGCGGTGTCGTCAAGGATCGCAATCCCGACAAGCTGATTCCACCCCACCAACGGCCGCGAACTGCAGTCCCCTCCACTTTATCAGCAAGGTCCCAATCGAGACGTCGCGTGCGCGCATTCCATTCCAGGCTATCCGTACGGATACTGTCTAGGTACCTCGATCCCTACCTTACCTATAGCTTACCCTTGGTAAGACTAGTTACCTAACTTACCTCTGGGTAAAGTACGAGGTGTGGTTAGCAGACAAACACCGACTCTGTCCAATCAACAAACAGCTTGGACGAGTGATTGCAGCCTGCAAAGGAGACAGGAGGAATCATCAGGCCGCTGAAGCCACGCGGCGCACGGTACCTCGCTCAATCGCAGCCTGGAAGCACACCACCACAGGAGACTACCGGAGCAATTGTGGTGCTAAGCCGCCTTATCTCCCCCTTAAATCCAGGGGACTTACATACGCCCCTCAGTATTACGGGCAGCAAAACAGCAAACGCCGCTCCGCCAGCGTGCGGGAGAGCCCGGTGCTGGGGCCCAGGACAGTGTTGGTGTCATTGAATTTCAACCCGCTAACAAGCAGCTGTCCACTGTCCTGAGCGGACTTCAGACGCCCCCCCCCCCCCCCTCCACCTCGACGGTCGGGCTTCGCGGATTGTCCGTTGGAGGGACTCTTGTGGTCGCCCCGAGAATTTAACTCGGAGCGCGTCCCACTAGAGCTTCCCTTCGACGTTCTCCATCGCAACTTTTCTCAACGTTGTTACCCTTTTCTGTTCGCTCTATTAACCGGTCCCTGATCTCATCCTACGACTATCTAATGGATTACACCGGAGGCACCGCAGAGGCCGACCATCTCTGCGTCCTGGTCCATGGGGTGAGTTTACCTTTACACCTTACACGTTATTCCCTGTCTTTTTGTCCTTTTCTGCACCCGTCTGGAGTCTGCAGCACCGTTTCCCACGACGTCATGAATGTTTCTGAACTAACGTAACGCCGCCTCGGCTCCATAGCTTTGGGGTAACCCCAACCACATGGCCCAGATCGCCAAAAGCCTACGCGCCAAGTATTCTGCCGACAAGCTACACTTATTGCTCGCGAAGCGAAATAGTGGTTCCTTCACGTACGATGGTATCGAACGTGGTGGTGAGCGCGTGTGCGCCGAGATCGAGGAGGAACTGCGCCTTATTGAGGAGAAGGGTGGCAAGATCACCAAGCTGAGCATCGTCGGATACTCGCTCGGAGGTCTCGTCTCCCGCTACGCCGTGGGCCTGCTTCACTCCAAGGGCATACTCGATACCGTGGAGTGCATGGTATGAGAGACATCTCTTGATGTAGTAAAGGACGATGACGATTAACTTGTGGCAGAACTTTGTGACCTTTGCCACACCACACCTCGGCGTCCGCACACCACTCCGGGGATGGCACAATCACTTGTGGAATGTTCTGGGAGCTCGCACCCTGTCCATGTCCGGCCGTCAGCTCTTTACCATCGACAATTTCCGCGATACCGGCCGACCACTCCTCGCCGTTTTGGCCGATCCCGACTCCATTTTCCTCGCCGGACTAAAGCGATTCAAACGTCACACCCTATACACCAATATCGTCAACGACAGAAGTGCCGTGCACTATACCACCGGCATCACCAAGACCGACCCTTACACCAACGTTGACAAGATCAAGGCCAATTTCTTGGACGGCTACGAAGATGTCATTCTCGACCCTAATCATCCCGTGGCGCCAAAACCAAAGATCTCGGAGCCGGCTACGCTTTCGTCTGTCGCCGGTTCAAGCTGGAAGTGGATCAAGCGCGTTCCTTTCGCGATAGCCTTGACGATTTTCGTCCCTATCGGTATAATCGCGTTCCTGTTCAGCTCTGTCGTCCAGACGGTCCGTTCATCGAAACGCATCCAATTGCACGAAAAGGGTCTCGCAGGCGTGGCAATTGATGAATACCGCGGCCCACTGTGGATGAAGGAGATTCGAGAGGAGGTGGAGCACGTGTACGAGACTCTCAACAGCTCGCAAGACCAAGAGTTCCTGGGTAGTGAATCGGAGGAGGATTTGGATGAGGTCGAGATGGATCGCAGCACCACACAGCTCCTGGCTAGGGAAAGGCGCATGTCGGTGCCGTCGCAGCCTACCCTCGCCTTGGCGCCCTACCAGTTCCAGATGATTCAGGCCCTCGACTCTGTTGGCTGGCACAAGTATCCCGTTTGGATCCACAAGGACCGGCACAGCCATGCTGCCATTATTGTGCGTTGGGAGAAGAAGTCGTTTACCGAGGGCCACGTCGTGCTCAAGCACTGGCTTAACGAAGAGTTTACAGTCTAGAGGGGGTGGTTTTGTCTTGTTTTCTGGAGTCGGAGTCAGAGTCGGAGTTGGAGAAGCGATGGATTTAGACTTAATGCTCCTCTCGGAGAGTTCAAGTTACCTACTGTACAAATCATGTTCAACCGTACATGTCTGCCATTGCAGATCTCTGATACATTAGCGATTCATCTTGGTGAACAGTCTACACAGCTCGAGAGGACTCATGGATGCGATAAAAGTTCTTGCTCCCCTGTCGAATTTGGATCTTATCGAAGAAGGTAGGTATGCTGGCATCTATTACTTCAGTCAGATGTTGCCCATTATCTACGGATGCTATCAGTGTGATTATTGAGCTCTAGGTAGGTAGTTCGTCCACAGGAGTTCAACTTGCCATAAACATGTCACCAACAAATATTCGTACCCCCTGACAAAGTAACAATCTTACACGATCCATCCCTGGCTCGAAAAAAGGGCCTCCTACTTGTACAACCGCCTCCGTCTTCTTCCCTCCCACCTCTCATACATCCAAAGTAGGTATTTGCTGGTGAGAAAAGGAGCGTCATACAGACAAGGATACGGGCTTCTCGCTTAAGCAGACAGGCATCCCGGCTATCCGGGCGGCACTAGGCTTGGAACAGGCATGGTGTCCACAGGGGTCTTACACCCCTCTCTCCCCATCCCCCCCCCCCCGGCTCTTGAGGTAATATGCAGTTGGCAGTAAATCACAAGCCACAGGTGGTCCGTGGGCGGGGCGAGAAGTCGAGGACCAATGGGTTTACGATTACGCCGACGCGCGTTGGCGCGTTGAAGGCGTGCAAAGTCAATTGCGTCGTCAACGAACGAAGAGCTTCCTTTGACAAACTACGATCCTGTCCAATAGGGGGGTTTTTTTTTTTCTTCTTGTTTCTTGATACTTCTTGACACTTGTGCTCAGCCTTTCCAATATCTACCTCCGACGACGTCGCAGCGATATGAATGGATAGGATAGGATAAGACGTCTCACTTTCACAATGAAGACATCGAAACTAGCAAAAGAGACATCAGCGCTCTTCAACAAGATGGCAGCATCATCATCGCCGCCGCCGCCACAGACCCGCCGGACGACGAGATCTTCGCTTGCCCGGTTCGCGTATACTTCAACTTCAACGACCTCTGCGACGGATTCCGAGGCGATAGCTTCAGCGATAGCCACGGAAGCCGCGCTCCATGACATAGTCTTAGGCGTCGCCGACATTGAAGATGCGGTTCCCGATGCGCGGAGCAGAAAACGGAGACGGGTTGTCAAAGAGGAGGACGAAGCTGTCGACCAGAGCGAACGTGTCCCAGACGTGGCAGCAGCAGTAGGGACGACAGCAGCAGCACCACCACCAAGAACAACAGCAAAGTCACGAACCAGAATCAAATCCGAACACATCGAAACCGAAACACCACCAGCACCACCACCAACCCCTCCGAAAGCCCGCAAAACCCGTAAACCAGCACGCACAATCCGTGGCACATCCCCTTCTTCTCCCTCCTCACACGTCGAACCCCCAACAGATTGGCTGCGAATCTACAACACCGTCAAAGAAATGCGCCTCCACGGCGCCGCGCGCAACGCCGCCGTCGACACAATGGGCTGCGAACGCCTCTTCCACCCCGACGCTTCAGAACGCGACCGGCGCTTCCATATTCTCATTGCGCTCATGCTCTCGAGCCAGACAAAAGATACGGTCAACGCGGTGGCGATGAAGAGGCTGATGACGGAGCTGCCGCCGCACGAGGAGGGAGCGGCGGGGGGACTGTGTTTGGAGAATATGTTGGCTGTGGAACCTGCGCTGTTGAATGAGTTGATTTGGGCGGTGGGGTTTCATAATAACAAGACAAAGTATGTTTGTTTCCCTTTTGTGCTTCTGGCGATGGGTATACACGGGGAATGGTCCTGTTTTGATACGGGGGTAAGTGGCAAGACGCCGAAAATGCTGACGTTGGATGGACTAGATTCATCAAAGCAGCAGCCATCATCCTCCGCGACAAATTCAACAGCGACATTCCCGACACGATTGAAGGCCTCACCTCCTTGCCCGGCGTAGGCCCCAAAATGGCCTACCTCTGCCTGTCCGCGGCCTGGGACCGCACCGAGGGTATCGGCGTGGATGTGCACGTGCACCGCATCACGAACCTCTGGGGCTGGCACAAGACGACGCAGCCCGAGGCGACGCGACACGCGCTGCAGAGCTGGCTACCAAAGGACAAGTGGCGCGAGATCAACTGGCTGCTCGTCGGGTTCGGACAGACGGTCTGTTTGCCTGTCGGGCGCAAGTGCGGCGACTGCGAGCTCGGGCTGGGCGGGTTGTGTAAGGCGGCGGAGAGGAAGAAGGTGAATGAGGGGCGCAAGATGAGGGAGGTCAAGGTTGATGTGAAGGAGGAGGATGATGGAGACGTATTCATCAAGACGGAAGAGGTTGTCAAGGAGGAGCAAGTTGTTCGTGATGCGATTGTGAATCAAGACACCGGGCAGCCGGAGCCGGCATCGGAGCCGGCGGTTGGTGATGAACCGGACGCAGTTGTAAGTACGCATGCACCGCGAAGAAGTCGCAGGAGCGGTCCATCTCGGTGAGACCTAGAGCGAGATAGTTGACTTAATGTACAACGTTTTGTCGTAAATGAAGGAATTGGCCATCGTATGGTCATGATGGTTGATTATAAGGTATCCCGAACGTAGACGGGAATGTGCAACGCAGGGGCGGAAATGGCAGAAATGACGTGCCGTCCGCCGGTAACAACAAATTGACCACGCGACCTGTGAACCAGCGGAATGACCGGGGTCCCTACCTGTCTCGTTTCTCGGGGGTCGGTGGAGAAGCGGGGGGCCCGAACAAACTCGGAGGAATTCCGAATTTCGATGTTGTCCTGCGGAAAAGGGAGTTGAAGAGTCATTGCCGTGCCTGCCGGTTGCTGCCGACACTGTGTGTACTGTGTTGTGAGTTGTCAGCTGGTCCGGGCAAAATAGTAGAGAGAAGAGGAAAGACAGTGGCAGAATGATGGGGGCGATTGTGAGTGCGTGAGATACGATATCGGAGATAGGCCGGGATAATCGGTATTCGCCCCGTTGTATGTAGTAGGCAGCCGCAGCCGTGCCCGTGCTCTGATCCCCCGTGGACCCGTGGTTCACTGGTGCCGTCATTGTCGTCCACTTCAATAAGGTGAGCAGCTTTTGTGACGTGTGGAAAATCGGCGTGGGCGGAGGGGGGATGGGGATGGCGGATGGCGGATGGCGGAAAGAGTTGTGGCTGACTCGCGAGGTCAGAGGACGACGAAAGCGGCCATATGAAGCACGGCGTGCCACGGTTTGCAGGGGGACCTAAGGAAAAACCAGAATTGTCTTTGCCCGCCGCGCGCCCCCTCCTCTTACTCTCCTTTCATTGATGTTCTGGAACAAGGAGGTGACCAAGTGAGAAAAAAGGGTCAAAGTTCTGACGCACTTTGTAATGTTCGTCCGTGGTTTCATTCGGCTGAAATGGCGGATAACTCTCCGAACTGACCCCGGCGACTCGCGGCTACTCCGCTGCCGGAACTGCCACTGCCACAGCGTGTGGCACGCACGGCGTGGAACTTCGTAGGTTCACAGTGAGTTTGTTAGTCATAAAACATGCATTTGTCAAACAGGTGAGGAACATGGAATTCAGCAGTGATGAGAACTCAGTAAAATGGTTTAAAATATTGTCAAAATTGGATGGCCAAATTCTCCTTGGCGGTCGCTCCAAATGAACTATACGCCGGTACGCCTTGCGGAGGAAGTATGAAGCCGAACTATCCTAAGCCGAAGTATGATACACATCAGTGGTGTAAGGATTCGGACGGGATGCCGCTCTGAGTCGCGCAAATGACGCGGAGACCAAACAGAAACGCTGTTGTCGCCGCCGTCGCTACCGCTGCAGCATTATGAATGCGAGTTGCAAAAGTCTCGCAAGAAAATGTGTCGAAAATAACTGATCCATCGCGTCGTGCAGAGGTCCGAAAATATGAGTAGGACGTGCGATAAGAAATGAGCCTTGCGCCCTGGACTGGCCCAACAACTCTTGGTGTGATGTTATCCACGCTGTATCCGGCCTTGTGGGCTAACTCGCGGCATCTTGCCTCATGTGTGTGTGCGTGTGCGACTACGTGAACACCATGGCGGCGTGCGATATAGATCGGTCTCGGTATTGTCGATCCAATTACACCCCACGGATGACTTGCGTGCGTTCGCTCTCGAGTTGCGCCGCATTCCGCTCATGTGATTGCTTCTTGCACTGAGAAGTTCAGTTAGCAAATGAGTCCTTCATCTTGCAACACGGTGTCGAGTCCTAATAACCATGAGGAGGGTAATCCGGGAGTAAAACTTACGTCTTCCAAGCCATCGCACTTGTGGTCCTCCAAGAGGCGGTGCTTGCCACAGAAGTGGCCGTTGCAGAATCCACAGTCGCCAACAATGCGTTGAGCCGCATCCTTGCACTCCTTGAAGGTGCAACGAATCTTCTTTTGAGGCATGACGAGTGATGGTTTTGGGGAAAAGACGGTTTATTTACGGTGGTGTTCGCGAGAGGGCGACGTTGGTTGAGTTTGTAGGCTGCGGCGTCGGGAGACGAGGTCGGACTTGATCGCAGAGGATGACTCGTTGGGGTCCAGCAGCTTGCGTGGCGAGGCGGGAGGTGTGAAGAGACTGAAGTGGGATGAGGGAGACGTGAAAGAGAGAAGAAGAGGAGAAAAGGAGATTGAATCTGAGGTGATGAGTGGGAGTAGAAGTAATAGAAGAAGAAGAGAACTGGAGGCGAATTGTGTCAGTCGGTCAATGATGATCTAATAAGCAGAGAGGCAGGACCGGGTCCAGGTCCAGCCAGACAAGCCAGGCGCCAGGTCGAAGGCGGGAGAAGCGCTCACAATGACAACCAAGACAAGACAAGGAACAACAGACGTGGAGCAGGGGACAGGGTGGCTGGTGGAGCTTTTGGTCTGGTCTGGGGAGGGGGGTGGATTATGTTGTTATTTATTGGGAAAATAGACATGCAGGGCACACTTCATCGGAGGCGCCAATGCAGGATTGATTAAAACGGAGACCCAAGCAACGAGACGAGGCGTTCCCAGGCGGCTTACCTCACCACTCTCAGCCTGTTAGTCTGGCACTCTTGGGTGGATTTTACAACTCCACGGCCGGGAAGAGAGAGCTTGTGGCTGCGGGAGTGAGCGAGAGTTACTCTGAAGTCTTCAGTTTGGACGGTGGGGGGTGACCACAACACCACACACACACCTCAGGGCCCTCCTCACTCTTCCCTCCTCCTCTTGCTCAGCCAGACAAGTGGAAGCACTCACCCGCGCTAGATGGACATCTGCTGAGTTGCGCTCCGATGCGCTGCCATGCAATGCACGGCCAGACCATTCTGCGGTCCACGGTGTCCACGGTGTCCCCAGTGCCATCCATGCCACGCAGAGTGCTAAGGTAGCCGTTTCCGTTTGCGCATGCAGAATCCAATGGAACAATGACGAGAAGAGGTATCCGTACTTGGCCTGGCACGAGATACGGAACTCGAGGTCGTAGCAGAGATGAGGTGTCCGTAAACTTGGGCCGGATGTTGGGCCCCCAAGCCAGCCCGGCAGACTATTACTTCGTACACCGACGATATCTCGTCAAGTGATGCGTTGGGAAAGGTAATGGCTCCAGTTGCAGCGACTCCAGTTGCAGTGGAAGCGGCGGATATCGGTGCACAGCCATGTGGGTGTGAGAGGTCAAGTGAAAGACCAGAAAATCCAGGGTAGGGGGTATCCATACAACAAGAAAGAGATGCTCGACTCACCAGAGTCGAGGTTCCCTGTTCTTTGTTCAGCCGGAACAGTGGGTGTTTCCCTGCTGCGAAGAGAACAGGCAGTGAACAGCGTACGTGTGCGTCCGAGGTACCCAGGTACCATCCGTATAACCGAAGGAAGGTCTTCGTTGGTCGGTGGTCAGGACTCAGTAGTGGGTGTAGTCAGCCGTAGGTTGGTAGGTCCGATGGGGCGGGGGTCGAGACAACGCTGATGGAGACGATGGAGTCAGAGGGTGGGCGAAACGAGAGAGAGATGCGTCGCTCTGGTGGCTTTGAGCCTCGGGGTTACTGGATTGGAGAAGGGAGGCTGGCGCCTGACGCTGACGCTGACGCTGATGGCTTGGGGACGGGTACGGTAATGACGCTGGCGCTGGTGCTGGCACTCCAAAACTGTAACTGGCAGTGCTGATTTGTGTCAAATGGGCGCCAGGACAATGCCGATGACACTGGTTAACGGGTTGTGAGGCTCCGAAAGCGGTGAATGTACGTCGGGATGATTAATTATTGTGTAGACTGGATTGCACTGGATCGGACTGGGCCTCGCGCCTCTCGTGTTTCTCTCGTTCCGTCGGGCATTCGTATAAGTCATGCCTACAGTGGCTGCTTGTCCCGAGTCAATGGATCACTCCAGATTGGATAAGCTCCGGAACAGCCTAAGATGGCTTGTATGTAGAGATAGTCGATCAGTGCTGCCAATGCCATGGATGATGGCGTTGGGGACGAAAGTAACCTGGCGCGGTGGCTGACGAGGGTTCACTGGTGAGACTGAATAGGAACGAGGGTGCTGAAAGTGCGCAAGGTATCCGTAAACTGGTAGAGTATCTGTAAGGTAGTGCCGCGAGTGCCTCAATTCTCGAGGCAAGGATGCGAGAAGTGATGTACGTCAGCGGTGGTTTGGTGACGGAGGAAATGAGGTGACTTTTTAAATGCTAGTGGCAGCAAGACGACGGGATTCGATCCTTGCGGCCATGCCAACGACGCAAAGCAGAACGTAGGAGGGTGTGATTTGACAAGTTTCCTGGGACTGAGTCAGGTAGATGCGACGCGGTGAAGGCAGTTGTGAATACTCCGTACCTAAGTTAAACGGTGCAGAAGTCGAGATGTAGATCGGACTACCTTCCTGTTAGACTACCTACCTTACAGGTAACCTTAGGTACTAGGGACAGCAGATGCGCAGGACGAGTCAAGAAGGATGTTGCACAACTACCTTGCCTTCCACGCTGCATTAGACAAATAACTTAGGTAAGATGAATGATGAACTGCACCTTACGAATATACAAGTCAATTGAGCAGGATCGTCGCAGGAAGAAAGGGAAGGAAAAAGCTGAGAGGTTTATGAAGAACCAAAGGGAAACTCCCATCAGCGCAACTGCTGTAACTGCTGTCAAATTCACTGTTGCCAAAGGTACCGGCCTACAATGCTAAGGTGCGAAGGTAGGTACCTGGCCTCGCCTTATCTAAACCATCAACTCCATTTTCCAGTCCGCGCTTCTAACGCGAATGTATCGTACCGGATCCGTACTTCAATCTCCAAGATGCCGTTGCATTGGTATTGATCACCAACCTTCCATCTACCGATACATCGCCGACCTCACCCCTCCCACTATTTCCTCGGATTATCCAAGGATTGCCGATGCACGGGTACCGAAGCCATGTGCCGCAAAATCCAACAGCATTAGTCCGTCTTTCAACCTGTCCAAGTCTAGCAGGCCAATCCTCCTCGTCTCGAATAATTGTCAATGGAAGACAGGCTTAGATCGTCTGCTCTGCTGCTCGCACAATACATGGCATTGCATGTCACGGCATGGCAATAGTCATTAGCG